GATTACAAAAGCTGACGTTTCGAGCGTTAGCCCTTCGTCGGAGCGAAGGGCTCCGACGAAGGGCTAACGCTCCGAAACGTCAGCTTTTGTAATCATTACGGTGGTCAATTTACCATTTCAACTTTGTTGATATATCCAAATTATTTCGTTACTCCCACCGAAGCAGCCCCAAACAGTTTCTTTCGAAACTATCAGCCTTTATTCATTACCTTTATTTTTGGTCTAGTAGTATGTTTTTTGTTATGTTCTGTGCTATTTTTCCAAAGGTGGCAGAAAACACATGCTTGGCATTAATGTTTTCTCCCTTGTATCATCATTCAAATTTCGTCTAGAAGGGCCCTTTACGCAACTGAACATAAGTATAAAATGTAATGAATCCTAGCCTACTAAACTAAATCTCTTTAATTTTAAACAAGTTGGTGCAGGATCTTATTGTTGTCCTCACCATCCCCGTCACTGCAATATCAACTTTCCAACAAACAAAAAACAATAAGTCACGATAAAACCTGATAGACCACCAAGTATTCATTTCTTTTACCACATCAGGGATACCATTCTTTCTAATTGGTACCATTCTCTCTAAGTATTCATTTTCAAGCAGAGACCATTTTGTTTCCGAGTTTGAAAAGCAAAGTTTTATCCTATTTCGCGTAGTTCACAAAACCATGCAAGATTTAAGTGACACAATTCAAGGCTTTTCATCTGTTATAACATATACATACAGCTTGGATTCTGTTGGTGACAGACGTTGAACTGATTAACTTAAAGGCACTCATAAACCCCTCAAGGCATCTGGATCGATGTCAAATGTGTTAGTGTCCCCCATGCTGGACAGAAGTCAAAGCGAAGCAGAGCGAAGGTTTATAAGAAGCCTCAAGACAATATCTGGGATTTTGTCCATTATTATCCAATCTTGCTTGACGATTGAGCTCTTCAGCAGATTCATTACTTCAAAAAAGAAGACAATTCGCCTGCCTCTTCAAAAGACGAAGTGAAGGATTCTTTTATTCCATGATATAAAAGGAAGGTAAGAAGAGCAAACACTTTATAGAGTGCCATAGCGCTTGGTTAGCCTGTGAATTTTTAAATCACAAGTAAGTCATTCATTCAGTCTCATCCTTCATGTTTTCTCAATAAGCCTTTATGCATTCATAAGGCTGATAAATAAGTTTTATATTCTGATTGCTGAAGGATTCGATCGTCACAAGAATTTTAAGAAGAGCAGTTTGTGGTTAGACGTCATTGTGCTGACGTTCTGAAGAAATTAGTGTGATAAACAATCACCCTTCCTACAGAGTTGCCTTGTCCTTTTTGGACATTCCTTTTCACTCTTATGACCTTTTCTTTTAGTAGAACGATATGTTGGGATTTAAATGCATAAGAATTCCCCCATCTAAAGTTCTCTGAAATTCAATATCTTAATATCGGAAATGGTGGGTTATACTCAGTTTTATAAAAGAGGATATTAAATGGCTGTAGCCATTTCATGCTAACTTTTCAACAGCTTCAATGACTTTTGCCCTTACTTTCTCTCGCTTTTATAATTAACCCTGTTTTGAGTCTGAGAGAGCTGTATCCTCATTCATTATGAAATTAATGACACCTCGAATGAACATATTCTTGCTGACCGATGTAATAGCCGACCGAACTAAAATGTTTTAGTAAATAGGAATGATTTATTCATAGGGAAGTAATCCAGTGGCACGGATAATGATATATACTTGTCACTTAGCACTTACATTATGGGCCTGAAAATCGAAAATGTCACGTTCATCCATCACAGAACTTACTGAAAGGCTGTTCCCTCAATTTATGGGGAGTAAAACAGAATACAGCCATTATAGTCTTGATCAGGGCAACCTTGCATGGAAAATTGTCAATTCTGTTACAATTTAACGCAAACTAATGAGATTATTTTTTATTTCCCTGCTTCTGTGTGCTTGCAACGTGCTATGTTAGGAGATATTCATCTTTTCTTAAACAAATTAATGATTTCATCGACGGTGTTATGGCACAATCAGACCTTGCACCTTTTTTTTTAGGAGTATTATCTTGGGTGAACAATATATGGTTTGAGTTTACTACGAAATTAGTGCTTTCCTAGTGGGCACACTTGCTAACAGCTATTCCAAAAATCTTCTCATTCATACAATGGACTAAAAACAGCACGCTTGGTGATCAATCATTACCAATAATCATCATAAACAGACCGCGGCTGGTGTCATAGTAATGTCACAGCAATTGATATACCTTTGTTTCGTCCAACTCATCTTAGCACGTAGTTTGGAAAAAATGTTTTAAGCCAAATTTGTTCATGAGATAAAAAGCAAGATACAGGGAATCAAAAGAGCTCTTAGCCACTTTTTAAAAAAATCCTCGAGGACGAAACAAGAAATTGAGCAGTCTGTGCTTACCTTTAACCTGCCATAAGTTTATCTCAGTTTCCTAATTAAGATCATATTTCTTTAGCGGAAGGCATGAAGATGTAATTAGAACGTCCGTGGCACACTCGAAAATGACTCATGAGCGACTTTCTTGCTCTCGAGCCACTCTTAGGACATCCTTGATCTCTAAACGAATACTTAATCAACAAAATGACTCATGAGCGACTTTCTTGCTCTCGAGCCACTCTTAGGACATCCTTGATCTCTAAACGAACACTTAATCATCCTTGATCTCTAAACGAACACTTAATCAGCAAAATGGAGTCCTTTTGAGATGACTTTCACGAGATTAAGGAATCCTTTTTTGCTTTAAAATATGAGCAAGCATCTGTAGCTTGACAAGAACGCCAGCTTTCAGGCTTAAAGTGGAATTTGACTCTTTGCCAAACTACTAGTAAGAGCAATCGGAAATTCAGTATGCTCAGTCCAAGAATACACAAGAAAAAAAAAAGGAAAAAAAAGAGGAAACATCCAAGAACTTTAAAAGCGAGAAGTTGGTCGGTTAACTTTTAATGATGCTAAAGTTGCTTTTGTTTTGTTTCTCGATTTAACACATGCGGATACTTAAATAGGATACTGTTGAGCTGAGATTTGTAATTATTGTGTATTTTATATATTGATAAATATTGATAACTAGAAAGCAACGGTTGCCCAAACCTTGTATAAAAAGTGTCATATCGAAGTTCAGAGAGTTCTTGGTTTGTCGGTTGCCAATCGGTGAAGCTCTGTCCAGTCTGTCCTCAATTCCCAATAGGGTTCTCCTCCAGGTTCCATAGGACGGTCTCTCTTTCGTCCACCCTCAATGGTCGGTCGGAGGGCGACTCTGAGCAGGGCTGATACTGGTATTCGGAGCAGTATTAGGCATTATGCATAAGTTAAGGTGGCTGAACACAGTTTTCGCGCGCGCTTTTGCTGATGCAATTCAGCGCGCGCACAAGTTGCAAAAAGCAAACATGCCGTCAACAGAGCGGTCATTTCATTTACTTAACACGCACCCGCACTATCTGTGCTATTTTTCTCTATAGTTGGCGCAGTGTATAGAGGGCTTTAATCTTTTATTACAAAGATATGTTAGAAAAGTTAACGGTGCAAAGAACCCAGCAATTCTCAACTTTTTCGTCGTTACCGAAAGAAACCAGTTAAATGTAGCGCATGCGTAGTAAGTAAAAAAATTGCGATTGAATGGAAAATTGCTTTCTCGGAAATATGCCTATTTCTTGAGAACCACTCATTAGAATTTCACGAAATTTGGCACTNGTCAGCTTAACTATCGAAAAAAAAAGTTTGTGTTGTTAACTTGCTTGCTGCCAATTTTGGCGACCGAGAGATCAAGGGTTTTAGGAAAAATGGTAAAAGAAACAAAGGTATCGAAAACTGTGTTCAGCCACCTTACAAGCATCTTCCCCCGAGATAATCGTCATTTACAATCCTTGTGAATCTTGCTATCCCTGTCGCTGTTTGTTACTTTCTCCCCCTGTGATATTTTTCTACCATAAATGGCGACTTTCATCAAAGTCATATTCTAATAAAGGTAAATCTCCATGGTTCTGAAATGGTATAATATGTATATAATGATATGTAAATGGAATTTGCGCACTACAAATATTAAAATATTATTATTATTATTATTATTATTATTATTATTAAAAGTATGCTAACAAAGCGAATTTAATCAAACGCAGTACCTTCTGTACAGAGGGGGGGTGAATAGGGGTATGCAAATCCGCCGACGCGCTACGATTTGATAACCGAATCCGTCAGTCCGTTAAAAAAATTGTTAAAACCGAATCCGTTCGCTACTTGCCTCGTAAAAAGGTGAAAAACACACGTTGAGCTGTTGTGTGTTAGCTAGGCAATGGCTTTCCCATCGAGCGAATTGCAATCGTTGGGGTACAGTGTCACGGATAAGGCCCGGGGGAGACTCCCATATGAAACAAACGGGATGCCCGTCGGAAAATTTAAATTTAACCCCTAAAGGAGACCATCTGGGCGTGGCTTAAGCAAATTTTGACCCCTAAAAGAGACCGCTCATGTTCATGCATTGTCTCTTTGGTACTTGGTAAAATAGAAAACTAGTTAAGGTTGAGGTAATACGGTAAACAAAACAAGTTAAAAAGAATTTTACTTCTGTTTCTCTTCGCGTAGTTCTGTATTTCTTCGCGGAACCCTAAACGAGACCTTGGCGGCTTAAAATATTGGCGCTTTGCCTGGAACACCATAAGCGAGACCAAAATTTACACCCCTAAGCGAGACGACGAGCCTCCTCGTCTGTTTCATATGGGAGTCCCCCCCCCCCCCGGGGATAAGAGCGCGAACACAGCAGACGTCGCAGTGCGTTACTATTTCCCTGATGCGTGACATGCAGAGAGTCTCGTCCGTGACAAAAAAATACACATACTTAGAAAACAACGCATTTCTGACGATCGTTCAGATCCACAATCCGAACTTCCTCCCAAGCAAAATCTAAAATGCGGACCTAAAAAATTGACAAAACCGCGAACCGTTGCAATTTCAGAATCCGCAAATCCGTTAAAATTTTGCTCTAAATCCGAAATTCGGGCAAAATAATATAATTCTCAGAATCCGCCGATCCGTTAGCCTATTCACCCCCCTCTGTATACGTATAATCCAAGTCTTTCAGAGTGTCTGCTCAACTGTCACCTTAAGTATTCTTTTTTTTTTTTTTTACGTAGATTCATATTTATGGCCTTTAAAACATTATTTCCCTTTTTGTTGCTGAAAGATGAGGGGGAGCTTTAAACGAAGTTGGATAGCTCACGGTGTCAGTCTTCCTTTCAAAGCGGGTCTAATATATTGCGCGCGTGTTACTCGCTCTTTAGCTTAGCGTTCGCTATTTCGTCAGCGTGTCACGCATTTTATTTTTGCGTGACCACAACAGACAACGCTTCTATTTTTCTAAACCTTGTATTGCTGTGTGCATATTTACTAGAAAAACTCTACAGAACACCATACCATAAACCTCATTCCTTGTTCAGTGTGTCTAATTGCACGCAAGGCGAGAAAATCACTGGTTTACAGACAAAAAATCTTTTTTATTGTCCCCTGAGACCTCAAAGCCTTCCTTTCGACGGAAGGCACACCTTAAGGCGGGGCTCACAAGAGCAGATCACTCACGCTATTAATTGTCTCGAACTGGTCACGATTACAGAAGACTGTTTCATATACTTCGCACTGCGTGCTAATCTTGTTTTATATCCCTCGAAACAAGCCAGGACTCATAGGGTGAGTACGGTGTATTGTCGGTCTAGTGTTAGACAGGTCTCTACATTTGTTCGCCGTTTTGAGTGACTGAGAAAGGGCCCTATCGTAATTGTCAGCGTGCTCCAGCTTTTTCTATTCTTCGCTTTTGACGGGTAAGATTATGTACACGATATGCGAGTTATTTCTTCATACTGTAGTTAAATATCTTGAAAGAAAGTATACTCAAAAATCTTTTAGATTCCTCTGTATTCTTCTCTCTTTTGTAGCTCACATCTAATCTTATACTTGCCGTATATTTACAAAACTCTTTCACCCGTCAACGTAACGCCATATATTTTCTGAAGAAGACGAGGCTCAGTTATTGTTTTTGAAAATTACCTTATCACGGAATCTGTTCAGTTGCAGTTTTCATTTCAGTCCTGTCAGCTCAGCTGAAACTGTAAAATTTCACGCATGTGGTAGGAGTATCCGCCGAACAAGATCAAATTCTGTGCCCTTGAATTTATAAAAGATCATTTTGGAACCTATCATTTTCTGAAACAGTTGCCGTCTTTGGGTACAGACTGAGTACAACAAATGTGCTCGCAATGTTCTCAACTTTATCTTCTTATAACATCATGTGGGGCGCCGCTGACGCATAACAGTCTACAACGTTGTTTACGATTTGAAAGACTGTATTTTGGCTTTGTTTTGAATTCCACTGCGATGTTTCTCGGCAAGAAAAGTAAACAATAATTTGATCTTTCTTAGTACGTGTTGGGTATGCTATAGCTCTTAAGTACAAGAATTGAGATCGTTTTGGTCTTTGCGTGAAATTGTTTTCTCTCCAGTTCTAATTTATCGAACTTGAATCGGATCTCTTGATTAAAAGAGGGCAAAATAAAGGTCTTGGCAATTTGTTCTTTCCTTCAGTTGTCAGTTAAGTTACTGCGGGGGGGTCTACAACGCTTCAGGACTCAAAATTAGCAACTGACCTTTTCTCTCTCCTCTGCGTACGGTTTACATTGTCGGCGTTAATCTGACGGTTAGAGATTGGGGATTAAAACCAAGTTATTCTCTCTTATATGGCAGTCGGAAATATTATGTTGTATGAATACTTCTACATCGTCCGTACCTTGGATAATTGCCCACTTCTGTCGGAAAATATTACAGTCGAAAGGAATATAAGAATGCGTGAGGACGAAGAAATGAGATGAGATCATGAAAGATGCCTTAACAGGGCGTCAACAGTCAAGTATCAGATGAAAGAAGTCTCTTTAAAAGTGTTAAATGGCCGCCTTTTTTTCAAGGGTTGTGTAAAAATTTGAGGTGGTCCCACCAGAGATTGATAATGTGTTACGAGAATACGACAGCCATCATCTTAGCGCTCAAAAGTGTGCCGCCCACGATTTGTTTTACGCTCCAATTTCGCCACTGTTTTGGATTGAAATGTCGAAGCTCGTATGACAGCTTATCAACTTGTATGCCGGCTTGGAGAGTCCACATGTACAGGGACACGTATTAAATCAGTGAGATACGACGGTTGTTACTCCCACCATGGACATATCCCATCGCGTGACTCTACATGAAAACAGCTCGCACTGATAACGAGTTTAGTACGGGGGAATCACAAGTTCAAAGTTTTTGTTTCCATCGAGTCTAGGAACTTTGAAGCGCAACTTTCGATTTTATCAATGCGGTATGATATCGGATGACATTTTCCCATACTAGGGCGGTGAATCACAGAAGGACAAGAGGATAATTGGGTATTCCGAGATACCAAAGAGATTAATGTTAAACCTCACTAAATAATCGCGTGGACACCAAAACACTGGCGTACTTTCGTCATGCAGAGAATTGCGCTTAAATAAGCTCTCGCTTTGTTTATATTCTCAAGTGCGTTCACTAAATTTTTGTTTCTTTTTTCACACCTATCAAGTGTCGACAGAGCATGAAGACAGCGCTTTGAAGCGATGATTGCTGTGCAATAGACCTCTTTCATTGATATGTGATCGGATTACAATTGTTATCTTTTAACTTGAACCGTGTCTTATTTACCTACATGAACTAGTCACACAGGCACAGTAAAGACAATGAACAAGCTCCATTTTGAGAGTGGTCCTTATCAGAATTTCCTGACGGGCTTCTGTTGGTTCGAGACACCGCCGTTCCTTTAATTATTTCAATTAGTTCTCCGATAATCAAGAGCAAGAGCAAGCTAATACACGATATTTTAAGTCATCTGAAGGTCATCGAAAATCGACTTTGAATTGGGTGAAAACTTAAAATAAATCATCTGTTACAGTTATTAGACCGGCAAACTCCTTTTTAAAGACTGGTTCCTCTATTTAAAAAACCAGGTGGCGTTTAATAGATTTTCCGCTTTATAGACCAAGCGGCGTCTTAAATCTCTTGTTCATATCCTTCAATTTTTGCTTCATATTTCAATTTTGGTTGATAAATTGTGTTTTGTTTTTAAACGGAAGCTTGTTTAGAATGTGCAGTGTCTCGCTTTTTGATGAAGATTTGGATGGATGGCTGGTTGTTACTAAACTACGGATCAGCAGACCGCGGATCTTCCGGAACCTGCAGCACCCACCGGAAATTGTAGAACCCATATTTTGTTTGTTAAAAAAATTAATTAAGCAAATAGAATTTAAAAAAAAAAAAAAAAAGAAGACCTTGACGCTATTCACATTTCATTTCGGATATATAGGGGTGACGTTAATAGTTCCGCAATTTATCAAATGTAATTATATAAATAGAATAAAAAAGAAAGAAAAAAAAACCTTGACACTATTCACATTTCATTTCGGATATATAGGGGTGACGTTAATAGTTCCGCAATTTATCAAATGTAATTATATAAATAGAATAAAAAAGAAAGAAAAAAAAACCTTGACACTATTCACATTTCATTTCGGATGTATAGGAGGTGACATTAATAGTTCCGTAAGATTCCCGCTGGCTTCAGAGGTTCCGCGGTTTACTGATCCACGGTTTAGTAACACCCTGGATGGCATAGATAACCGCGTTGTGCCCTACTTGTTATTTCATTTCTCATAATCCTAGTCAAATAAGCGGTGCATTCTCCTGAACAGAAGCGGTGTTTTACTGATAATCTTTGTTCTTTCTCATGTAGCATTTAGTCGATAACGGCGTTTATTCGAGGGCAGCATGTATTCGAATAAACATAGCACAGATGAGGACAACGAGAGATGTCAAAGTGGAGTGCAAAGGATAATGAGATTGATAAGAATTGCGGACGAAGAACTGATAATGATTTAAGCTAATAATAATGATAATAATAATAATAATTTTCACTACTAAGTAATGTATGTGTAAGGAGAATGTTTAGTTTCAACTTGTCATCAAATCACGTCCAAGTACTCCACCACCGAAAAAACTATTCTCTCCTCCCTTGGTTGAATTGATACGATTACATCTTCCCTTGATCATCTGTCCTTTCTAAAGTCATCACTTTTATTTCATGTTTTTAGGACCCTGGTGAACATGGAACTTATGCGAGTGCAATTTGTCCTGCTATTTCTCAGTGTGCTAATTTCCATCATGGTCAACAGCATAATTTCAGCCGAGAGTGTGAATACGCGATGCGTTTTAAGGCAAAAAAATACGTGTTATCAATATTCTATCGCAAGAAGGCGAAATTTGACGTGTTCTGTAAGTGGTGATAAATTCATGAACTGCCATCAGTTGGCCAACGCAGGAGCCTTCAATCTTATATGTTCTTCCCCAGGCGAATGCAAGCAGCAATGTGTAGCTGGCTACTGCCAGTCCCTAAAGTGCAACGCCAGGAAATGCAACCAATATTGCCTCCGTGGACGGTGCAATATGGAGTGCAATTCTGAGGAATGCATCCAAGAATGTAAGGTAGGTGGATGCGAAATGAAATGTCCAAGTGGTGTCAAGCGTTGTATTCAGAAATGCGGCCGAGGAAATTGCAAAATGCATTGTCCAGCAGGAGTGCAATACTGCAAGCAGTCGTGTGACACAGGAAGATGTTTAATGCTATGTCAAGGAAAGGAATGTTCCCGCTCCTGTCGCTACAGCAAATGCCTGTACAACAGCGAGCCTGAAAATGGGGCTGCAATGGCTGTGGTTTCAAGTTGTAATAGGGCGCGTCTTCGAAGACATAGCATTTGTTACCAGCACTGCCCATCTGGGGACTGCAATATGATGAACGTTAACAATTTTGCCATGCATAGTCAAGCATGCTATGGAGGCAACTGCAACATGAGGTGCAACGCGAACAAAAAGTGCAGTCAGGTTTGCGTCGGACGGCATTGTCAACTTGTTACTTGCACCTCAGAAATATGTATCCAAGAATGCATCGCAGGAGGATGTAACATGGAATGCTACTCAAAAATTTGTACTCAAATTTGCAGAGAAGGAAATTGTAGGATGGCTTGCTTATCGTCAAACTCCAAAATATGTTATCAGACCTGTGCTGGAGGAGGCTGTGTCACTTCATGTGAAGGTGAGAATTGCAGCCCAAGGTGTTTTGGTGGACATTGTAAACACTCTCTGTATGAACCTCCTGGATTGATAACAAATACTGCATGCGACAAAATAAAAGACGACACGTGTGTTCAAGAGTGTGGCTCAAGTGTAGGATGTTCCCTCAAAAACGGACCCTCTAGCCCGTTGAAGGTCTCCAATCAGACATGCCAGGGTGGGTTTTGTGTGCTAAACTGCACGGAATCAGAGGTATGCAATCAGGTTTGCACTAGCAAAAAGTGCTACACGATGTCCTGTCACTCTAGTGAGTGCACGCAGGTTTGCGAAGGAAACGACTGTGGCCTGTTGGAATGCTATGCAGATACGTGTACGCAAAAGTGTTTTGGTTTGGGATGTCATTTGAAGTGTCATCCATCTGTCCAAGTATGCCATCAGATCTGCGTGGCTGAAAAAGGGAGATGTGCGCTCGAGTGCTGGGCGAAGAAATGTATCACAACTATGGTGTAGCCTTGAAATTCAAAACGATGAGCTCAGAAGCAATCCTGCAAACGCGAATTTTAAAATTACGGCAAGCATTTTAGCAACGAGAAGAAACGCTATTTCATGCTAGGATGACTGTAAAACTTACTGTCAGGCGTTAATGTCTTAAAAACCAACTTAATAATCAATTGCTGAGGAATCTCTCGTCAACTTAAAAGAGATTATTCGTTTTCTGTCAAAACGCTTTTTTTATTTCGAAACTTAAATTTGCTCTAATTTAAAAAGCATCAAACTTGGAGGAGATCCGAAAACGAAAATATCTAAGTATCAACAGACGGGCAGTATCCAGCAGTAAGGCTGGACGTTAAATTTTAACTTGTCTCTTCTGGGTACTTTTACGTTGAACATTTTTCCTTTTTCTTCTAAAGAAGTGATGGGTTGAACCGTGTTTGAAATGTGTTCGACGTTCATCGCTACTTTTATTGTGTTACAATGTCCAGTAGAACCATATTAATGAATTATAAACATAGGTTAAAAATAGCAATTGCAAGTAGCAGTGTGATGATAGTTCAAGCTAGTTGTCTTTGAGAAGTACAATATTCATACAGGCAATGTATAAACTTCTGTTCACAGAGGGAAAGATTTCAAATAAATCAAGTTTTTTTTCGTGATCGAAAAATATATTCGTTGGCCGTTATACAAGATTTTCGGATTGACGAAGACCCGTTCTGGCCATTAATCCAGGCCCTTGGTCTATGAAGACGAGGGGAAAAGCGTTCAGCAAAGAAAAGCGACTGTTTCTAGAAAGGCACCTTTTTAGCTATCCCACACACCTTTTGTGCTACATCTTTCAGCCGGCTTCACCGACCGAAAGCTTGGTGCAGTTAAAGAAGTGAGACGATTGGTTGCACTAGCTATTCATATTCAAGTGTTTGCCGTGTGGTGGGGCTTTCTGTACCAACTTAAAAGATAAATAATATAATTGATTGTATCATTTTGGAAATTGTTGCTCACAAGCAATTCGCTTGCACATTTGCATGGTTCTTAAAAAAATTGATACAAGAACTGATACAAGCGATATATAGGAAGAATATTTGCGTATGTCGTTATGGCGGATGGTCTTGTTTGCCAGAGCTCGTTAAACATGATGATTCGGTCCCTCCTCAGAGATGCTATCAAGAGTGTGTTTTGGGACAATGTTACACGCCGGGTATTGCGTATTTTTAACTATGTGAATGTATTTATCATACACACATTTCTTTTACTTTATTTCCACCCGGACACGGCATTCATTTGTTAGTTATCAAAGACTTGTAATGTTCGCGGCTGTGCTGATACACGGAACATTTCACATTTCCTTTTCTACTATATTTTTGCTTTGTTTTTTTTTTTAGGATTATGTCTTTTGTTTTCCTACACAATAGTTGCCAAAATTATTTCGTGCTCGTT